ACATTGAAATAAGACATCACTTCATTAGAGACCATGTCACTAAGGAAGATGTAGTTCTAGAATTTGTTGATACTTTGCATCAATTAGCGGATATCTTTACAAACCTTTAGACAAAGGAACGTTTTTGGACACTTAGGAGAGAACTATGTTTAACTGACCTATCTTCACTTAGTGTTTAAATAATTTTAGCACTTTTAAGAATAAATAAAAAATGCATATAATAGTATTTTTATTGCATTCTTTGCTATTAGTTAGGGGGTTTATGATTCTTTGTGAAAAATTGATTTTATGTTCAAATAAATTTTAATGATAAATTTGATTGTTTGAACAATACCACTAGTATTAATTATTTTAGCACTATTAGATGTTTAAAATACAGATTTTTTAAATATTTGGCAGAGGGAATCGATACCCCCATAAGGGAACCGATTTCCCCTTTTAATGGGAACTGATTCCCCCTGGAGGGGAATGGATACCCCCATGGGTTCTAGTTTTAACACGGGCAGAACCCAATATTTTCTCAAACCCTCTCTTCTTTCTTAAACGTCGTTCATCCTCTCTTTCTCTCTAAATCTTCATTTTTGCCAAAATCATCAAATACAAGTCGGAATTAGATCTTTCTTCAACTTCTAATCCTTGCAAATAACATCACATTCTCATAAAATCCAAATTTTCAAAGTAATATTTCAAAATCCTCTATTTCATTGATTTTTGAACTCATGACTAGTTTTGATTAGTTCTAAGATGAACATTACATCGGGCATTGGTTATATGATGATTTTACAACCAATTTCGTCAAAAACACTCAATTTTTCAAAATTATCTTTTAATTTAAAAAATCAAGAATTGTTGTTTTAATTGATGTTTTTGATTCAATTATGTTGTTTTCATAAAAACTATACGTATTATGATTTTCAAACATTATTTTCCAAATAGTTTTTCAAAACATTGCCCTTTAGAATTCGGTTTAGAGAAACTTGAAATATTGAGGACTCATTTGAGTTTTGGGTTTGATTATATTGCATACATGTGTTTAAATTTGCAGGTTACATATTCTATTCCGATTCTTAAACCATGTCAAATCCTAAACGACCTAGGACATTGTCTAGTCGCTCAAGTTAAAACCAACCTCTTATTCCTCCACCCAATCCAAATAACCCAAATATGACCATTTTGAACTCTTGTTTCACGTACCTGGTCGTAGACAAGATCTATACCATATGTACCTTAATTGTTTTGAGTCATACAAAATCTGGGAAGAGCGTATCCCTTCGATCCAAGCTATAGAAGATATGGACTTCCAATATCTTCCTACTCTTAAATCCTAGAAGTTTGATAAACTCTTTAAACTCAAACCTTTGGTTTATCATCAATTAATTCACATTTTTCTATTCCAATGTGGTATGTGTCCAAAATGAGCGCCAATATGAAACTATAGGAATTCGATCCTATCTTTTAGGACAATTCATTTTTATTGACTCACGCATAATCGCTACCCATTTTGGACTAGATAACTCAGGTTTAATGAAAAAGAGACTGTGGATTCACCCTATAAGTCTAAGGATAGTGAGAGTACCCTAAGAACTCATCGTGATAGTTTCCTTCATTATTTGATCTCTTGGTGGTTTAGACCATCCGGAGGTAGGTACTCCTCCCTTTGGAACATAGATATATGGTGGATATATTATCCAACAGAAAAAAGAAGAAGATTAATCTGCCACAAATCATCTTTAGTGAGTTTCCATAAATATTGTTCATTCCAAGAATATAAAAACCTTGGTTTATGGTTGTCTCCTTTGTAATTTGTTTATCAAACTCGGTCTTTGGGTCAATGGGTTTATCGTCCCGAACTCAGAACTTTTAATTGTGAAACATTTTGATGTTCATGTATTATTTTATTTTGGGTGTTTGAACTTGTTGGATAATTGGATATTTGAACTTACATGCTTATATATTTGGTTTGATTTTCACTTTCATTTTGAGCTTAATGTTTATTTTTGCATCATTTACATATTAGTTGCATTATGACCAATTTTTTGCCATTTCACATTGTTTATGAATATTGAATTATGGAACTAATGGCTAATCTTTCTCTTGATTATGATCTTAGCAGCTTACGCTATATTTAGTTATCAATTGGCTAATTGTTTTTCAAAAACTTGTTTAAAATCTTTTAAAGGTCTTTTTGATTTAACAAAAAGGAGAGAAATATTAAAGTGTTTTTAAAGGGGAGAAGTGTTAGAGTAAGGGGGAGTAATTTCAAAACTTGATTTCAAAATCTTAAAATTACTAAAATGTTTTGTTATATCAAAAAGGGGGAGATTGTTGAAAACATTTTGATATTTCGATATAACAAATTAAGATAAATGAATTTTAAGATTTTCAAAAAAGATTTTCTAAGTATATTCGAATATCAAAATATTACTACAAATCTTTCAAAAGTCATTTTTAATCCTTACTCAAGTGTAAAATTAAGTTTTAATCTTAAAATTATTTCAAAAAATAATTTTACAAAGTATTTCAAACCGTTTCAAAGCCAAAAATTCCAGAATTTCCAGAGGGAACCGATTCCCCCCCAAGGGGGTACCGATTCCTCCTGAATGGTTTTGCTCTGAGAAATTCCAGTATGCTCGGAGGGAACCGATTCCCCCCAGGGGGTTTTGATTCCCCCCACTGTTCAACGGTCGAATATTTGAATTTTACACTTAGGGAACCGATTCCCCCCACGCTCCAAGATGTTTTATTAATGATTTTCACACTTAAACGGCTCCATTGAATCCACTAATCATCCCCAACGTTCAGAATCAATTGAGGGAGTATTTAAACAAGTTCTGAAGCCTTTGATCAATAAGAAATCATAGAGAAACAAGAGAGAAAGCATCAACACCAAGTTTGTGCATATCAAGCCAATTTTCTTTTCAATATTCATTTTGCTTTCAAGAATACCATTTGTGCTCATTTGTAATTATTTTTTAGTGTTCTTTTCTTGTTCTAGAATTGTGCAAACAATCTACCTTGTGAGGATTTCATTGTAAGTTTGCAAATTTGTAATCTTCTCTTTGGGAAAGAGTGTTCTCAATAATTGGGGTATATTCTTGAGGGTGTTGTAAGGTTATCTCTTTGGCCTCAAAAGAAAGAACAAATTAGTGAATTTGTTGGAAAATCCTTAGTGTGGATAGCTAAGATAGTGGACGTAGACTTTGGTTGAGAAAGTCGAACCACTCTAAATCGCTGTGCAATTACTTTCAATTTTTTGCAAAAGCTTCCACCAAATTTTTAATTGCCAATTCACCCCCCTCTTGGCCAATTCCGTCAATCGATTAACTCAACAATGCTAAAAACAAAGCTTTTACCTTTATTTTTTTTGTTTTCTATTGCTTTCTAAAAAAATAAAGGGGATCCCTTTTACAAACTGACTTTCGGGTTTTATACCCAAGATTACAGAGATTTTCATTAATAAAAAACGAAATCCAATCATATTGCCTTCTGACATCCACTATGCATGGTGGTTGATGATGAGTATTTTTAAATGCCGCGAATTTTTCGTGTTTAGTTGAGATCTCTGATGAGATTTGGTTTGGCTAGGCTTGACGGTGGGGACGATCGACGCGGCTGGACGTGGGGAGAGCTCGGTCGGCGACTGTAGGGCTCAACTTTGGCGGAGGCGGTGACATCTGATAATGATGTGTTAGGGTTAGGGTTAGGGTTAGGCTAGGCTAGGGTTTTGGTTTGGGTTTGGGTTTGGGTTTGGGTTTGGGTTTGGGTTTGGGTCAAATTTTAGATTTGTATATGGACATGGTTTTATGGTTTGTAATTGGCATTGGGCTTTGTAATAAATAATAATAATAATAATAATAATAATAACAACAACATAATAAATAATATAAGGTATTACTTTTTAGAGAAGTATGTTGGAAATTAAACACAAGTATTAATAGTTCAAACTTCAAAGGATAATTTTGATCCCTTGACTGTGCTAAAATTCAATACTTAGACCCTGTATTTAGAAGAAGTAAAATTATGCTTGAACCTCTTTCCATTTCAACTGGACTGTTGGTTAATACCTCTACCTTAATTTGACATAATTTGCTATTCCAAATTATTGATGCTGCCCCATTCTATATAAATAAAACGGTTCAGTTTTATTAGTGGGGCTGGGTTAAAATTCCTAATTGTAATTAGGGTTGGCATCGTGAAAATAGAATGAAATATTTTGTTGTCGTTTTTACTCTTCAATGTTTATCTTCTCCATCGTTTCTTCTGCAACTGTCAGATTTTAAATTTAACTTACATTGTTCATGTGTAACATCTATTCTTCCACTTAATTACTTTACTAATAACATGTATTCTTCCACTTAATTATTTTACTAGTAACATGTATTCTTCCTATGTTGTTTGTGTTTTTAATCACACGATGATTTGTTTGAGTTAGGGGATGAATCGTCACTTGAGTTGGGTGGTAGATGTTATTTCTTTCGCTTCTTCCTTAGGTCGTATTTGTATTGAGTTGGTATTATACTTGTTGACCGATGTTTGTTTTCCTTGTAGGGTACGTTTGTTTTTCTTTTAATGTCCTTTTCTTTTATTGTGATTATTTTTGAAAACATTTTATTTATTTTTCAGTGTTTGATTGACAAAAACAAATTACAGTTAAAACTCTAAATTAATAATGTCAGGACCGGAGAAATTTATTAATTTAGAGAGTTATTAATTTATCGATAAATTAATAATTATTAATTTAAAGAGTTTTTAAGTAATTATACTATACATACCAAACAAAAAGGCAAATTAGTCTATGCCTCTTAGAATTACGTTGCAGCGAACCTTGGGACTCAACGTAAATTAGTAACTACTGTGTTCATATGCATTGGAAATCAATAATGACTTTTGAAGTACAGTAAATGTAAACAAGAGGAACAAATGTGTTCAATGTATTTTTAAGCAAGTTTGGCATATATAAATTACATGAATGTGTTAGTATTCAAACCATATCTCACAAGATGGCTTCTCATCTAAAAGGTGTTGCAAAATCAACTATGTCAGATCAAATACGTAAGGAGTTGTGTGAGTACAAGAGATATAAACCTGCAAGCACACAAAAAGACTTGCAGAGATGGCTTGAGGGAAAATTTCAGTCGAAAGTTAGTCAAGGAACAATATCAAACACACTTAAGCGGTCAGATGACTATCTCTCTGTTGAAATAGAAAAGGGAAGAACAGAGATCAAAGGACACAAACCAACAAAATATCCTGACATGGAGAATGTTGTTTATGAGTGGTTTCTCCAGCATCAAGAACTTGTGAATATCACAGGAGAATTAATTTTGCAGAAGGCAAGAGATACAATGAAACTCGTGTACCCTCATGATGATTCAGATTTTAACTTCTCTATAGGATGGCTTGGGAAATTCAAGCACCGACATGGCATAAAGTCATTTCGTCGTTTTGGCGAGAGTGGGTCTGTTGATGTACAAGACATGGAGTAGAAATTGGTATCGATTCGGGAGAAAATTGATCAGTTCCCTATGAAAGATGTTTTCAATATGGATGAAACTGGGTTGTTTTATAGGCTACAAGTTGATCATTCACTGGCAACAAAACAACTTGAAGGAAGAAAACAAGATAAAGAAAGGCTGATGGTAGTTATTTGTTGCAATGAAGATGGCTCTGAAAAAATTCCTCTATGGATTATTGGGAAATATGCAAAGCCTCGTTGCTTCAAGAATGTCAACATTAATAGCTTGGATTGTCAGTATCGAGCTAACAAAAAAGCATGGATGACTAGTGTGCTTTTTGATGAATATGTTCGTTCATTTGACCAAATGATGCATGGTAGAAGAGTTCTACTTGTGGTGAATAATTGTCCAGCACATCCAAGAAATATTGAAGGGCTAAGAAACGTTGAGTTGTTCTTCTTGCCACCCAACATGACATTAAAGATTCAACCTTGTGATGCTGGGATAATAAGAGCTTTTAAGATGCATTACCGTAGAAGGTTTTACCGCAAAATATTGGAAGGTTATGAGGTGGGACAATCTGATCCAGGGAAGATAAATGTCCTTGATGCTATCAATTTGGCAATCCCAGCTTGGACGATAGATGTTCGAAAAGAAACAATAGCAAATTGCTTTCGACACTGTAAAATTCGTTCAGCTAATGACGTTACAAGAAATTTGGATGAATCCACTTTTGATGAAGAAACTCAAGACCTCGAGACTATGATCAATCAATGTGGCTATCGTAATAAGATGGATATCGACAATCTAACGAACTACCCAGGTGAAAATGAAGCATGTTCGAAGGTTCAGAGTTTAGAAGATATTGTGGGTACTATCATTGAGAACAATGCAGAGGATGACGGCGAAGATGATACGGTGTCTTTGGAGCCTGTTATGCGAAAGGAAGCACTTATGGCGTCGAACACTCTTCACAACTTTATGATACAATACAAAAATACAACACCTGAGCTATTGGATGCAATAAGAAAAGTTAGAGATGAGCTCCAAATAGACTTGAACTTTAAAGGAAAACAGACAACTATTAAATCATATTTCAATAGAGTGTAATATATTTTTTTTTTCAGTTTCTATGAATTATTAATTTATGATTTTCTTGGACCGAAAATTATAAAGGGATCTCACGAAAAATTATTATATTATTATTTTATCGAGTTTTTCAATTTTTTACATTGGCCCAAGTCGGGACCGGACAAATTTATTATTTTAGAGAGTTTATTAATTTACCGAGTATTAATTTAAAGAGTTTCTACTGTAATCAATGTAATTTATTTTTCTGATCAGCATTATTTTCTTTGCATTTTCTAATAAATGACTTACAATCTGATTTTTTCGTAATTTATTTTTAAACTTTTTATTTCAAATACAAATATTCAAAAAAATATTAGTTTATTTATTTAACATTAATATAATATTTTAGTACTATTTTAAAATATATATATATATTTATCAAAATATATTTATTAATATTTTAATTATATAAATATTATATTTTTGTATTATAATAATATAATCAATTATATTATTATAATATATAATATAATATTTTTATTTTAATTAATAATTAATATGAGATAAAATTTATTATTATACTAATATAATATAATATATTTGTTTCAAATAATAATTAATATAATTTATAATATATTTTTATTTTAATAAAATGTATCCGTCTTAATATTTTTATTTATAAAATTATAAAAAAATATTTTAATAATATTATTAATATGCACAAACTAAGTGATCTCCGTGATTAAAGAATTGTTGTTATTCCTTGAGGTTCAGGGTTCAAGCACCATGTATGCACCGTGTATGAACGTTCAATGTTAAATGGTTGAGAGTCTTTGATCACATACTACCTTGTATTCACCACATATTAATCAAAATAATAATAATAATAATAACAGTAACATAAATAATCTTGAATAATCTTTGAAAAATAATAATATTAATTTTTAATAAATAATATTGTTTATTTTATTTGATGTTTATAATAAATAATTTTTAAAAAATTATCAACTAGTGAAAAATGATTTACACAACATCATCCAAACACCAAAAAATATAATTCATTTTATTAGAATTACTTTTTTAAAAATTATTTTTCATGAAACAAACGAAATCTCATTTGAGATTTTATCATTCATTGAGTAGTTTTCTTGTTATTAATAAACTAATTACTGTCAAAAAATATTATTAACATTGTTATCTATTCTCGTTAAAATATTTATGTGATATTTTTGGATTTATTGTTTGCAGATGGGTTTAGAAGAAGAAATTGATTTTTACACTCTAATGTTGGGATTTAATGGGATTTCACATTAATTTGACTGAATTAATAATGATGGTTATATTATAAAAAAATTAAAATACAGTAACTAAATTTCAAATTTGAACATAATAATGGGATCAAAACTTTAATTTAACCTACTCAATGTGGCCTATCGTTAGAGGGGAAGAAAAAGGAAGGTAAAATGATGAACAGAAAGTAGGGTTAGACAGGTTGTGCCACATTTCGAACAAATGTTGATAATGACGAATAATGTGTCACCGAAACCGGATCGTTCTCAACTCATATGTATTATCATTGTCATGTTTCCAAATTATGATCCTATTCCAATGTAATGTCAAAACTATATACTCGAATCATGGAATTTATAAGTACAACGTACTTCAACTTATCTAAAATATGTCTGCAACTAAAAGGAGTAAGAGGGATAATCGTCCTATGAAATTTTAAATTATCATATATTTTTTATTAAAATTTTATTTTCGTTCTCCTAAAATTTTATGAGTTCTTCTCCCAATATAAAATTATATATTTGTTCTCCAAAATAAAATCAAGCGTTTGTCCTTGTACATATTCATTGTCTTGAAAGTAGATCGAATGTATTATGTGTTTGCTTGGTCCGAATATATGAGCATGGGTCGGGTTCGAAATAATAAAAAAATATTTTTATTCAATAAAAACAATGACTTAATTGAAAAAAAAAATTATATATAGAGTGGTATTATTGTAATTATTCCTAAATATATAAGATAAAATTATATATATTTTTTTGGGTCGGGTATTTTTTCACCCTAAAGCCGAACCGACCCGAATATCACACTTTAAAAAATCTGACCCGAACCTGATATTTTTTTTAAAAAAAAAATCTGACCCGATCAAATCAGGACTGATCGGAACCCGTTGGGTTCGGGGTGGTGCCCATCCCTAAACATATATGACATTATCAGTGTCTTCAAGGTTTTATTGTCGTGTTTTGTAGAATTGTTGGACATGATTCCTATGAATGCCCTTGTTTTTTCTAACAAAATTTATTGATATTTGGATGAATAAAATAAGTTTTAGTAATTTGTTTAACTTGTTCCTCAATCATGTTTGCATGCTCCGACTAGCCATCATCAATCCCACCACCACATTTTTCAAGTAATTTTATTTCCTTTTATGACGACGTCGCATTATTATTTATTTTAATTATTTGTAATAATTTAAAATGATTATAAGATAATATTTATTTAGAAATTTATTAATTTATTGATAACGTATGCATATCCTGCTGTTGCTCGAACTCAAACTTCTACAGAGATCAATATTTTTTATCAGTAAGACTACTTGATAGATTCAACTATTTTAATATGATATAAACTAATATGGTATTATTATTGATGTTATGTTTTAATCCGAATCCCTTAAGTCATGAGTTCTAGACTCACTAGAGACCTTTCATTTCTTCCTCTAGAATCCTCATTCCCCTCTCCTCTAAGTAGAATTAGATTTATATTTTGTTATACCATTTAAAATGTGAAACTATAGTTATCAAGTTAATTTTTTTCATAATTTTTTATTTAAAAATGTCTATAACCATAACGAGTGCACCACATGTAATAATAGAAGCATAAACATTTGTTTGACTTTTGCATTGTATTAAAGTGACGATGATGATGATGTTGCCGAAGCACATATAAAAAACATATGCAACCTGTTCTTCATCAACCCATAATTGTTATTTGTTAGGTGAGGAAATGGTTTATTTAGTCAACTTAAATTGTTTGATTGGGAAATATTGTTGGGGTCAACCTTTTTTATTTCTTTCTTTCTTTTCTTAACATTATTATAAAGAAAGAAGGACAAGATAGAAACAACCAAGGAGCCTCTTCGCGTCGTTGGCGTGTGGCCAAATATGATAAATTCAAAGGGCACCCTAATTATCTGGTAGGTGACTACATTTTTAAACAAAAATCCATTTCTTCATGAATTCATTGACTGTATTAATACTAAAAAAAATATTGTGATTTTTTAAACGATTTAAATTCAAATAGTTATATTTATAGAGTGTGTACATTATTAATAAACTAATAAAAATATTTTTAACATATATCACCACAATCTATTTAAAAAATTATTTCATACTTACAAAATAATAAATTATAGAGTAAAGTACAGAAATGATCTTCCAAATATAGGGCATTGCTTCGTTTAGTCATCGACTATTAAAAGTTACAAGATAATCCATCGACTATAGGGCGTTGCTTTGTTGAGTACTTCGAATATTAAAAGTTACAAAATAGTCACTCGACTATTCATATGTTCCAAACTTGTTCTTTTTCGTTAAAAAATTGACTATTGTTTGTGTTGGACGTTAACCTACTGATTGAATTATTATAAAATCATATTTTAATAATGTCTATTGGCACCTTCGTTATTTTCAAACATTGTCTCGATGACATAATGTAAACAGAGACTCGATCCAAAAAATTAGAAACATATGAATAGTCAAATGACTATTTTATAATTTTTAACAGTCGATGGACTAAACAAAGTAGTGCCTTATAGTTGGGAGTCTATTTTTTTTATTTTCAGTAGTTAAAAGACTCAACAAAATAACTTCCTATAATTAAAGGACTATTTATGTAATTACCCTAAATGATATTTGTATTTAGCATCTACTGTGACTAAAAAAAACATATACCGTGTAACTTGGGGGAGCTGGGCTGGACCACTTAAGCACTCAAAATGCCGTGAACCATAGCAAATGGCATACAGCTAGCCATCATTTTAGTTATTTCTTTTGCAATTTGATTGGGCCTGACCATACAATTATTTTTTAATTCTATTTACTGTTTTAAAATTTCTTTTAAATAAAATTCAGGTGAGGCCGCCAACGAAAGCAATTGGTAAAACCAGCAGAACCTTATGATGTAAAAAATAATCCATTTACGTATTAATATAATTTTGATTTCACTCTTGATGATTTGAAACAGTCGAGATTTCGTCTATTGAAAATTTTAAATTATTATATGTTTTCTATCTTCTAAAAATTTATAAATACATATCATCTTAAAATTTTATAAATTTACCCCTCGATATAAAATCTTAAAATTGTCCCTAATTCACCTCCATCAAATCCAATTACCATCTTCCTTAGATTTAAATATATAATATAATATTAAAAAGGTAATTAAAATAAGGGATAACTATAAAATTTTCTTAAGTATACTTTGTCTTAATCTCTGTCGATTATGTAGGTCGGTTGACTGGGCAATGATTTCTCTACGAGTGTATTTTTCATTATTTATTTATTCATTTTTTTATTTTAATATTTTTTAGGGAAAAAGTTGAGCAGTGATTAAGCTTTGTGGCCATAGTACTATGCATGTTCTCATGACATTTAATGATTATTTATTTCGTATATTATATGCATAATGTTACAGCCATCTTCTATTTTATATATTAAAAATACAGATGAATTAAAATAAAGAAAAAGCAAGTACAAAAAACTCAAACAAAAGTATAGAATGAAACACATCCCATGTGATTAGGAGCAAAACTAGTTAATCTTAGGTGTTCATTGTCTTCCAAGGTTGCAGCAAATGGCCTTTGCCCTTTGTCTACATCACAACAGCTCACCTAATCTAAGGTTGTTTCTTAGAGTAATTTGTCATGTTGCCCTAATAATAAAATTTTCTATAATAATACAATTTTCTATATGAATCAAACGAATTCAGTGGTTAAAAGAATGCTTTTTTTTTATAAAGATGAGTATTTT